CCCCCGGGATCAAAAAATTTAGGAAAACAAAATCAAGGAGTACAAAAGAAAGAAAACAAAATGGGCCCAAAAATTTATTTAAAAACCGTTTTTGTTAAAATTTTCTTTTTTTTCCCAAATTTCAAATTTGCATGTTTTTAAAATTCCCCTTTTTTTAAAAAGAAAATTTTTTTTTAATATTCCCTCCAAAATTTTTAATTTGAAAGGAAAATTTTTTATTTTTTTTTTTTAAAAAAAATTTTTTCAAATTATTTAAATTTTAAAACTTTTACTTTTCATAAAATTTTAATATTTTATTTTTTAAGTTAAAGGTTTTTTTTTGGGCCCCTTCCCCTAACCAAAAGGTTTCAACAAAAAAAAAAAAAAAAAGGAACCAAAAACCCCCCCTTTAGCTTTTTAATTTTCAAAAAAAAATTTTCCTTAAACACAAAGGGCCAACCCTTTTAAAAATTAAAAAATAATTTTTTAAAAATAGCGAAATAAAGACAAAAAAACTTAACATTCAAACAATTCCAATTTGCCGAAGCAAGTCCCAAAGTCGTATTTAAAAAAGGTTTAAATTTTAAAAAAATTTACATTTTCATTTAAAATTAAAAAAATTGGCCCTTTTTTGGTTTTTAAAAAATTTTTGGAAAACAAATTAACCACAAAATTAAAAGTTAACGGATAGGAAAATTAAACTTTTAAAATTTAATTTTTTATTCACGGTTTACTTTAAAAATTTTGGTTTTCCCCCAATTTGGGGGTTTTTAAAAAAATGGAATTTTTTCCTTTAATACTTAAGTTTTTTTCTTGTTTGGGGCATTTATCCCTTATAAAAAAGGGAAAAAAAATTTTAAAAAAACCAAAAAGGTTTTGTTGCGGTTTGTTTAAAAAAACCCAAATTCACTTTCCCCGGGAATTCCACCGGTTTGGACTTTTCTTAACCGGTGAAAAATTTCCTTTTTGGTTTTTCCCTTTAAAAATCAAACGTTTTCCCCCAAATGTTTTCAAAATTTTTGAAATATTACTTTTTTGACGAATTGCTAAAATCTGCGATTTTACATCGCTTTAAAAGAATCACATTTTATATTGATGTCCATTACGATATTTGATTAGATTTTGTCATGCCTATTTTTTAAACTATTTTTAAATATTTATTTAAAACTGGTAAAGCTGGTCATGTGAGTATTATAGATTTAATTTTTTTTCAAGTTAAGACGGTGTTATAATTTCTGCCACTTTGTGAATCTTTACATAATTGTTCCTCTTTTCTTAAAAAAAAAGAACAAGAACTCTGCCATGATGACTTTTATAAGCTTTTCTAAGAAATGAAAATTTCTAAACACAAGAGGTCACTTAAATAGTCATGAATAATTTAAAAGGTTAGACGCCAATATGACAAAAAGGCTAACATTACAACAATGCTTAATTAAGACCGATGCACATGTCAACGTCGTGAGTTTCACATGTGAGATCATAAATTCACATTTCATCTTCACGAATTCACGATTTTCGATTTTAACTACATGAATTCACGATCTCAACTTCACGAATTCAATGTAACGAATATGCATTTGAACTTCACGAATTCAATTTCGTTTACTATCACGATTTCACTTCACGAATTATAGATTTCAACTTCGCGAAGTTAAAATCGTGAAGTTCAGATCGTGAATACATGAAGATGAATTCTTGAATTTGATCATCATCATCGTAATTAAATGAAAATTTTTTATCAAGCTATAGGTCTTGTTGCTATTTTGCGATCGCCCTTCTTCTATTCCATCTAGCGTTCAGGACTTTACTCAACTGGTGACAAAACTGTCCTTGCCTTCTCTTTTCTATTTATATCTGACACACTGTGTTTCGTTGATTGTGTTTCAACAATTGATATATTACTGTATATGGGGAATATTTGGTCGTTCATCTAATATAGATCTCAACCTGTGTATAAGTTTAATTTGTCCGTGATATTTTGAGAATTTTATTAATATCACAAATGTTTAATGTAAATGTATTTGAGCCGCGCCATGACAAAACCAACATACCGGTAGTGTGTTTGTGACCAGCATGGATCCAGACCAGCCTGCGTATCCTGGCAGGCTGATAAGGATCCATATATTTGCTTACAAACCCTATTACAAGTAGAGAAACTGATAGCGAACAACATGGATCCTGATCAGACTGCGCGGAGGCTGACCGCAAACCTATTATGTGGGTTTTGTCGTGACGCGGCTCATATATTTGTCAAGAAGGGCTTTCAGTGCTTTACATGTGACATGGGTATTTGTCTTCAATCTGTCAAGATATTTAGTTGGTGTTTTGTTTGGAATATTCTTAAAGAACTGCTTCGAAGATAGTATTGGAATGAAACATAATCTATTAATTATTCCGTTAAGAATAAGGCAGTAGATAATAATTATATGTCTTCATTTCTCTTTATGCCATTGCCGAGGATAAGATGGTGAAAAGTAATTAAAATTTTCATTGTCTGGTCTATTTCAACATCTACAGTAGTCTTTGATTATATTAATCTGTAAAAATTAAATCCATGCTTATAGAAAAGCATTTACTTGCTCTTTGCATAGTCTAATACTATAGGTTTTGCAGCTGTGTGAAATAAATATCAGTCTTATATCAAATAAGAATATATGAGCCGCGTCACGACAAAACCAACATAATGGGTTTACGACCAGCATGGATCCAGACCAGCCTGCGCTATCAGTTTATCGTCTTGTTATATGGTTCGTAAGCGAACAGCATGGATCCTGATCAGACTGCGCGGATGTGCAGGCTGGTCTGGATCCATGCTGGTCGCAAGCCCATTATATTGGTTTTGTCGTGACGCGGCTCATATAATGACCTTTTTATTTCTTAATTACATTTCTTTCCTACTTTGAGAGAACTTTGTGAAAACAATGTGGACTAGATATGGATGTTTTTGGACTGGAAAAAATGAAAACGAGGCTAAATTAATTGGCATTTATTATAATGATTTACATTTTGAAATTACATGAGCAGGTGCTGGAAGTTCATTGGCTAAAATGTGTGGAATAATAATTATGATGTGAGTATCCATTGGTGAGTACCATACTGACTTCTACTGGACAAGTACACTGCTGTTAAAACTAAATAGAATGTGTCGATAGGACAATGGCGGTTCCAAACGTGATGTTGAAAATACAATAGTTAGACGATGAATCTGCGAGGGTTACGACGGTATGCTGGCACGATAGTAATATTACAAGAATCTTCATCAAACCTTTGCATTGTCGCGATTTGATAATATTGCCGTTGTATCTTCATTACCGTACCGTCCATTTGTGTCTCGACACCATCAAAGCATCGTTCATAGCAGTAAAATAAAACGTCACAATTATCCAAAATGGAATACCGTAAAACTGCTTAAGTTCTTCTCTGGGAAATTCAAATTCAAAGAGAAACGATTTTTTTTTCAACTATGTTTTTGGAAAGTAGAGCGATTCTTTGGGCGTAATGAAATAACAAAATTTTATTGACAATTGCAATGTCATTTATTGTAACAAAATAATTGTCTTTTTACTCTAGGGAAATGGTTTATTAATTTATTGTAAAGGCTAACTAGGTAAAGCTATTGTGATGATTATCCGAATCGAAAAGGTTAATCTTGGCGATGCCAGTTTTCTCTTCGGGGCCATGATCAATTGAATAATTGTTTTGGAACACTAGGCAATGGAAAGTGTTAAATAAATATTGTATCATTTCTATAAAGATTTGTTTTTAGATACAACTCACCACACAACGTTACAGTTAACAAAATGGCAGCTTCGCATTTCATGTTAACTGTTACACATTGAAACGAAGTGTTTCGGTAAAAGTTGTCATAGAACATAAAGGTTCATCACCTAAAATTAATCAACAACTTATTTCATAATTCTTGTCATATTATAGAAATATGATAAAAGGCGCATGGGCAGTCATAATAGCAAACGATAGCATCTTGCAGTGTCTTCGATAGATGAAGGTTATTAATGGATAATTTGCTCTATATTCTTTTATTTCAGATACTTACCAATGAGACATTATGTGCTAAACGCAGAACAACACATGAATGTCGTTTATCCATTATACGTTCAGTTTGATACATGCTAAGTTTGAATATTACAAAGGAAATGATTTTTGTTTCATTTTTTGTTCTTTTTGATGTTTTTTCCCGATTTTAAAACATGTTTGGCCATATCTCAGCGGTCACTTAAGATTGCTAGTTTGATTGATAGAGTTTTACGTTACACCGACATATGTCATATGGCGACGTTCCAGTTTTTCTGGTGAAAGAAGACCTCAGGTGCCCTTTCCTTTCATTATTTCGGGCAAGAACTAGCACCTTATCAGTAGAACTGTCAAGTTCCGTAGGCCAGCTGGATAGCTTCATCACATGAACGAATCCAAAGTCGCTGTCGGGATTCGAACCCAAAGCTGTTAGGGGGCGGTCACTTAGTCGATCTGTAGAAGAATCATATGTGCATTATACCTTTACAATTAACAAAGTATAAGAGCATGCATTTTCATGCTTTCTGTCCACAAAAGATGACAGATACATTCAAGATGCATTCATGGAACTTCTTTCAAAACAACTTAAAAAACAACAAATATATCATTAAGATACATTTTTATTCAAACCGAGGAGAAATATTAAGCATTTTTTTAAATTTATTCAATTTGTGATTTGCCTTAACCAAAAATGATGGCTTGAAAGGAATTTCATTGAGAACAAAAGTCTAAAAACATAATTTTTGAATTTCTTACAAAGTAGCAGAGTGCTGGGGCACTTAATACAGAAGATATGCAGAAGGTGATTAAGAAATATTTCCGGAAATAAATTCAGAATTGAATTTTGTTCCTTTTTTGTCTAATTTGAGTGATAAAAAGCTTTGCAATTTCGCACCCAAGTTGAAATATGAATTTGAGTCCCAACAGGTGAAGTAAAATCTCAATGGAGTCTCTTTAAGCTTATAGATTTGTTTATTATGTTTCTGTCATTTTTCAAATTAACTGCCAAAAGATTTTGTTTAGGAACAAACATTAATATATCTTTGTCAAGGTTGATAAAACATCCGCTATGTTGTATTTTAGAAAAATATATAGTTTAACACTTTCCGGATAAAAGATTTGTTTGACTCACTACACACTGATGATACACATGATTTATATATTATTAGACTAATTTATTATAAGTATTTGTTATTAATCAATCTGGGAACAGAAGTTAAAATTTCAGGCACTTTGCTTTTACCTAGGCACATTTATATACCCCACAGTTTTGAAAAATCGTTTTCGAATCTTGGACAACAACACAATGTAAAGTGTACCATTTGGAACTCGAAAGACGGCAGTAGTTTTCACCTTTGGTTGATAACCACGCCACTTTTGATGGATCTGTAATCCTATCAGTGTGATCAGCCCATCTTTCGCATTTGTTGCCATATTCAGTTATATTTCTCCAACCGTTATAGGTGCCCGCCCATTTGACAAAGCAATCTGTGAATGAATTGTAAATATTTTATATTTTTTTCCACATGATTTGATTAATTTAAAATGAAGACTAGATGTGCAACAATACAGTGAAACCTTTATTGCGACATATTGCTATACAGGGAACCAATATTGCAAAATATATTGCGATAATCTTATTATGATAAAAACAATAAACAATTTTTCGTGTGGGGGGGGGTGCGTGCGTGTGTGTATTTGTGTGTGTGCGTGCGTGTTTTTTGTGTGTTTTTCTTGTTCCGTTAAAATAAATATTTTTTTCCGTTTAAAGTAACATTATTTTCAGCTAGAATTAACCTGAGTCTGTAGTGCCTCCTAACAACATAATTTACCGTGATAGTATTTTGTATACAATCACAAATTTATATGAAGAACGCTGCGACAATTTGGGACACAAATACAAAGTTACAAATAATTTTAGATCTCAGTCATCAAGTACAAAGTAGTCCGGCAAAACACCAGTGAAAATGCGGGAAATATGTTTCACTGCCGTGAAAAATAAAATTTTTACAAGTGAAAATTTAGAAAATAGGCATTTTTGAATTTCATCAATATTTTTCAATATTTCATATACAAGTATATAATATTTTTTTATAATCCATGCTCTGAAAATTATTTACTTGAAACAATACATCTAACTACTTTCTAATATTTTTTTTGGTTCTGTATTGAAAACAAAAACAATAAAATTAACCATACCATGTTCGCGACAAAAAGCTGTCTCCCATTTACCATCAAATTTACACTTTATCCTGTCAGAGTCTGCCCGGAATCTAGGGTCACAGTTAACAATAGCTGTGTCCATAAAGTGAGTTCCAGAGTTCAGAGAGATATTTCCGTAAGCAATAGAGCTGGGTACCCCACAGTCTGTAATCAAGTGGAAAGAAAATTTTCTCAGATATACCTATACCATATATGCGGCTTGATTTTTTATTTATTTAAAATTTTCTTGGGGGTGGGGGGGGGGGTGGAGGGGGCGATAGGAGTCAGTTTGATATAACTTTTAACATTTCTTAATATATTCATGTTATACAAAGACAGCAAGTTGCATTATCTTTAAAGCTGCATTTAACAAATTTCATAAAAAAAAAAGAAATAGCAACATTCCATAAATAAATTGGATTTCATATCCACTCCATATCTTATTTTGGTGTCAAAACAACCAAAATGAGTTTAATCTATAAGCCTTTAATTCTGCAACCTCATTGTGGCGAAATCGGAAGTACAATTTCTGTTTGCATGCATAACCCAGCCTTCGGATCATCCGTACATCAATATTAAATCAACATGGCTATATGTAGCAGTCCTAATTTAACGGTATATTTCCGCAATGTAACGGATGCTTTCATACAAATTTAATCTTTTTTATGAGATGATAACTTTTATTTGAAAGCCAGGCCTAATGTACCAAGAAGCTAAAACGGTTAAAGTGTGTTTGCACAAGAAAATCTCATATTTGTTCTGTTCCGGATAACAACTGTAACACTGACGTAGCGCATACAGAAGCTGGTTATAGTCTTCATTTGCATGTTAAATTCGTATACGAACTTAAGTTTTACCGCGGGGTTTTCCGTTTAAAATTCTAATTTATGAACACTTTTTGGTGAGATTTACAACAATACTGTTAAAAAGGTAAATGAAACTGTATAATACTTGGTTTTTAGGCCGACGGCAAAATATTCTTAAAATAACTATTTATTTAATGCAGCTTTCAATGTCGTTCCGTATATCATTCTTTGTGTTTTGCTTGCAAACAATTACATTTGGATAAAGTTACCTTTTCGTATAGACGGCAATCATTTTATTGCACAAAGAGTTACAGCCACAATGAATGAATAAATTAACAACTATTCTAAAATGCTTTTACACAACAGAAATATATTCAAACTATCATCATTCGGTTTGCTTCTTGTATTCATGAAATCTTGTAAGAAAATATAAATGAATTAAATAATGCGACTTAAATATTTACCTCCTCTTGTAAAATACAAAGACCCGTCTGCTGTTTCCAGTTCTGTCTGTGCAAAATGCCTACACCCGTCGCATCTCCTATTTTGCTTTTGGTAAAATATGTTATCACAGAACAACGAACTCTTGCAAAACACAGCGCATTGAATATTTGTGTAAACCTTGTCAATACGAAACACGCGTTTCGAACTAGAACATGTATAACCATCAAACAACCGGTCCCTCTTTAAAACAAAAGAAGAGTACAGGAGGCAAACAGACATACAAAGAGTGAAAAAAGAGAGCGCGTGAGCCGATGCCGTGTTCCTCATGATTCACGTGTGTTACGATTCTGCCTGTGTCATCCTCTTTAAATATTGTTCTGTTTCTAACAAATATCGCGCATGCTCAATATGACCATAATCTTGCTCAATACTATATAGTCCACTGGGATCAAAATTTGTATGTGCTTTTAATAATTAAGAATATACAAACCACAATTCATAATAAAATGGTGTGTGCATTGCAATGTTTTCCTTATAATTACTTTACGCTTGGGAATCGTTTTTTATTTTCATGTGTTAATGTAGAATGTAAAAGGCTTGTTGAAAACTAGCAAACACTTTTTGTCCGTATCATAATGGGTGTACAAAGAGGCATTCCGATTAAACAGGGCGTTCTCTTCCTTAAAGAATACTGGAAAAAATCTTAAAAGAAACTGATGTAATCTGCTTAGAACGAGATACATTCTTGAACTGGAACCAACAAATATTCAGACTGGTCAAAACTTCATATCATAGAAAATACTCTTGGCGCAAGAGAGTTTGCCTTTGCACCATTTTTACATTTTGACATACTACATCGGGGCATATTTGGTTGGAATAAATGTATTTATTTCATTTATAGTAAGTGTCAATTTGCGTGTGAAATGATGGGGAAAGGTCTGTAAAGGTTAAATGTTTTCTAAACTACATACTCATACTGTAACTGTAAGTACATGCTTAGTTTGCGATTGTTATTCACTAATATGATTTGTTTTGAAATGGAGCAAAGTCCATATAGGTTAAACGTTTTCTAAACTACAAACTTTCATTGTACATGATAAGTTTGCGATGGTTCTTCACTGATATTATTTGTTTTGAACATATTTAGTGTCTTTGTAATGGTTGTGTTTGCGCATGCGCAATTGACGATTGCTTCCTTTTATGCTTTGAGCATATAAAGTATATGACTTTTTTACTATAAATCGTATCTATTCTAATGAAGTTATTTGGATGAATTTTAAATAAATATTGATATGAACTCAAGGTAATTTAAATGTTTGCAAAATTGCGCAGTTAATTTTGTCCTGCTCTCGTGGGATTTTTTTGATACGTAACTAATAATATAGCAACTTCAATGTGGCGACTTTAAAGATATACCTCGTAATTGATTTTAATTATTTATCTTGTTTTTGTCCTCTGGGATTAATTGTTTACAGTTAATTTGATTGTGTAACTTTTTGCAACATTTTCTTTGGTTCTAATTACTCTCCAGGTATCTCCAACTACAAAGACAAATACCGTATATGTAGATACACAAAGAGGAAAACAGGGAACGCATGTACGCGCATACATCGACTTTAATAATAAATAATAATAATAAAACAATAAACAATGTCACAAACAAATTGAAATATGAGTTAGTAATTATCAGTTATATATTTTTAAATTTAAAATTAAAACAAATTGCTGCCTGAATCCTGAAGTGCTTTAGAATCACATTTTACATGCTGATAATATATTGTCCATTCCATAAGAATATTAAATTAGATTTCGTCACTGTAGTTGTTTTTACTTTTTATTCAAAGCAAATCAAAGAGACACCACTTATTTTTTTCACATGATGGGGCTGAAAATATTTTCCCGAGAATGATGTTCCGATTTCTTTTAGGGCTCAAATTCGGCTTATAATCCAATATAAAAATCAATTTTCAATTTAATTTGAGTATTTCTTTGTTACCCTTTGCAGATTATTAAGTGCTTCACTTGATATTTCTAACATTGTTTTAAATTTTATATGTGAATGCCTTTGAACCTCTGTGGAGTCCTTTAAGTTAGTCATATATGTATAATATAATTTGTTCTTTTCTTTTAAAAATTGACAGTGTTATTATTTTATTGATCTTTACATATCCTTTCCTTATAAATTTGACGGTATAACTCTTGCGATGAAGACTATTACGATTTATTTTCATGAAATAAATTTAAAATGAAATTCAATACAAATATTTCACTCACTTATTTAATATACACAATATAAAATATAACAAGAAAATAGCTAATTTTTCATAGCATGACAAATATACAACGGTGTAGACTCTTCCTTTATACAGGGTCCAAACAGTCGCCGAAACAAAAAAAGTGTAAAAAGTCTAATGCAGACATTGCATTCTTAATGGTGGACGAACTATTCAAGTATACTACTGTACTTCGTTCTGTGTACCAGCTAGCCTGGGATTCATTTGCTTATCCATAACATACGTGCTATTTTATACTCAATCGTCTTAGATAACACAGCATCTCCGGTTTTGATGTCGATTTGCCGAACAGAAGCACATAAATCAAAGTGCTGCAGCACTGAATGCGACGGACATGCAACCGGAGAGACATTAATTAAGGCTTCTTTTAGAAAAACAAAACAAAACAAAAACAAAACACAAAATATATAACAGAGAAAATTTGTTCCATACAAGTTCGAGATTTGTACAGCAATATATTTTGTGTCCCAAATTGATATAATTCAGATTTTTTATGAAATTTATGCCTAAAAACTCTGGTCAAACTTGTAAATCAGTGTCCTTATCGATTTATTCTAAGAAATGATATGTAAATAGAAAAAAAAACTATCAACAAAATATTTCTAGAATAAATCCAGGCAAATAAACTTCAAACATAATACATTATACATTTGAGAATGCTATTTAGAATTGCTTCGTGTTATATCATAGTGGGCATACAGACAATAAAATATAAGTCATTTGTATTTTTATTTCTCTTGGATATGTCTCATTAAAAAGAATTGGTTAAAATCATCAGCAATTAATAGTGTATTTCTTAGATTTTTTTTATTTACAAGGTAAAGATGTAGAGGCCAGAGCACATCGTTTTTATTTTAATTTAAATGTCACTTAAGCACTACAGTGTTTAGTTGTCCTTTTCAACTTCACACTAAATTCCATTTTCAACTTGTTTGCTTCTTACAATTGTATAGCATTTCTAAAAGTATTGCATTACAATCCGCTGGTTTATTAATTACATGTTTAATGTGTACTTCCTAATCGCCTGTCCAAAAATCAGAACAGGTGAAGCAGAATCTATTTTTAGAATAGCGAAGGTTAACTCATATCATGACCTAGTAAAATATGTAAACAAACCACAAGAATCGGATGTAGAACTGATATTATAACTTCCTTACCATGAAAGACTACATGGCGGTAAAGTGTCTTACATGCATTTTCAAAAATAGATATTTATACTAGCCATTGTACTGTATCTAATATATTAATAACTGCTGAATATTCAGCTAAACCCGCGGTATGAGTCACGAAAATAGTTCTTCTTTTATTAATGCGCGATTTATCCTAGTCACGAAAAACTTTTGATTTGTTAATAATAATGTTTTGTATAATGTAGAAATATTTATTTCCTACTAATAATGTCTTGGAACTCAGAGGTTACACCTTTATTGAAGTATAATTTGCTGTCCTACTTTTTCGACAGCGGTAAATCGTTTCAGCAGTAATTTGCATATTGCGCATTAATACTACGGGACTACAACGTTTTTATCAATAATATACGTTCATATTTTAACTTGGAAAATCTTAATTTGAAATTGAAAAGGCTAAATATGGAAGACATTAAGATATCCAGACAAAGTATGGGAGTTTTGAAGGATCAAATTCATGTACTATTTCTTGGGCTGTTAATTGGTTTAGGACACATTGCGCGAGTGTAGCCAACGAAATCCCATGTGTAGATGACTTAGCTCTGAACGCGCCTGAGGGCGCGTCCGTCGCAAAAAATCGACAGACTGGAACCCAGGCTGCTAAGGTGATGCCAGGTGAATTTAGGCGGGGCTTATCAGCTAGTGGCTAATACTAGCTGACCAATAGCGAGTCAATATATTACACAATTCTTAAAGTTGTCTAAAAATAAGTCACAGAAACCATTTACATTATTATTATATTCACAATCATTATTCAATTAAAAACAACATTAAGATAAACAATATGAAATGTACTGGAAATCATATAAAGCACTTCAAGCTTTTACATACCTTTTAGATTATAATGACATTTCATAAATCACAAAAATTTAAATGAAGATGACAATGTATGTCTTCATCGTGAAAACCTGGGGTGCGTTTCGACTAAAATTATAACTGGAATAAGATTGTACTGAGGACTATTCTTGAAACGCAGTTTTATCACAGTTTTGCACTTACGACTAAAAACGGCCCTAAGATTCGTTTTGATATGATGTACCCAGAGCTCAACTGAACACAAAAATGGTCACATGATCAAACTGGCGGGAAATCTTTACACAACAACAATGGTCCAGGGGTAACAACTCTCTTAATGACAAAATATAAATAATTATATAGATTGTGTCCCTGTTACAATTGTTGTCGTGCAAACACTTTACTGTATCCTACTTGCATATCGTATCAAAGTGCAATTGTATGACAAGTGGCATTTTTTTTTATTTATGCCCCTTTATAACTGAGAATTTTTTTATTTGTCAGAATTGTCCCCTGTTCCATCACATGCAGTGCTCTTGTTAATGTAACAAATATTGTTACGTAAATGGCATTGAAATAGTGGCAGGTCTAACTAAGATTGGAATAAAAGGTGATAATGCCTGCACGTTTTGTAAATGAAATAACGAAACACTTTTACACCTGGTCTATTAAATTCAATATGTTAGTCAATTTTGGCAGACTACTTTAAAAAAAAACTATTATTTTTAAAACTAAATGTCCGAATATTGCAGATTATGAAAAGAAGAAGTTCTTTTGGAGTTAACTGACACAAGGAAAATTGATAAGACGTTAAACTTCACTCTTCTTGTTTGCAAAAAGATATATATACACTTGCAGGTACAATAAGCAAAGTTTAAATATACAAACTTTCCATCATATGTTAGTTTTTCATTATAATGTAGAAAAGTATATCCAATACTCTTTTGTAACTGGGATAAATTTAAAAGTAGCTTCCCACCAAACTCTTGTAAATATTACAGTTAATAATTAAATGATTATCTTACAATAAATACATGAAAATTTACTTTTAATTATTTAATCTTTAAACAAAAGTGTTTTATCATTCAAAGTGACAGAGGTGT